CCCTACATATTTTTAAATCTGTATGTGATCCTTTCTGAAGTTGTTTCTTTTTTTTATTCCGTGTATTAGTTCTTAGGCGGTATTCATTAATTTTTTTGCCCAATATCTCTACTTTTGAAATGTTACTAATGTAGATAATTGCTTATTTTTAATCAGTTATAAACAAGTTTAACTCATCTTTTAAAAAATATGGAATAGTTCAGCAAAGGAAAGATGAGATCTTAATCATTGTACCTTATGTTTTAATTAATTTTGGTGTGAATTTGCATTTACTTTGAGAAATGTTTGTATTAATCTATAGCAAAGACTTTTTCTTTCAACTGCCTTTGGTAAATACTACAGTAGTCATATTTAAAAGTGGCATATGGTCTCCCTATTTGTCTGCCAGGCTCCTGTCAGGTTCTATGATGAATAATAAGTGGATAGTTTTTAAAATATATGTTGAGGATTTTTTTATTAAATGATTTAAAACTTTGTCAGCTCTGAACTATGGGTTTATATAGTACATTTCTTTCTTTTTTGGGGATTACTATATAATAAATATCATAACCAAAATTAACTGGATTTTTTTTTCTAGGCAATGAATTCTCTTGTGCCTTTTGGCAGTTTTGGTGGTATGGTTCGTATCATGAGACACAAACCATTTTAGCAATATTTTCTGACAAATATTTGTTTTTCATTAACTCAAGCAAAGTGAATTGGCATGCAGTTTCACTTATCTTCAAAATAGCTTTTTAGAATTTGTAGTGAAACCTGCTTATGTATTAATCTTAGAGTATTCAGGCATGTTTTTTTCTGAACTAAGTCATATCAGCATATATAAAATCAGTCTCAAAAAAGAAAAAATACATGGGGCGCCTGGGTGGCTCAGTCGTTAAGCGTCTGCCTTCGGCTCAGGTCATGATCCCAGGGTCCTGGGATCGAGCCCTGCATCGGGCTCCCTGCTCCGCGGGAAGCCTGCTTCTCCCTCTCCCACTCCCCCTGCTTGTGTTCCCTCTCTCGCTGTGTCTCTCTCTGTCAAATAAATAAATAAAATCTTAAAAAAAAAAAAAGAAAAAAGAAAAAATACAGTTTAATAGATGAATATTCACTTGATTAACAAAAGGGATCCCCATAGTTTGTTTGAAAGTTTGGATACTTCCACATGCTTATGATGACTTTCCAAAAGATGATAAAGCACCAAACTGTAGCTAGAGGAGCACATTTGGAGAAGCTCAGATTTTCTGCCTTTTCTAGGACTCTAAAGTTAGTTTGTTCATGCTGCTTTTCCATTCCCACATCTAAGTATGACTATTCTACAACCAGCTTTTCTCCCACACCTGTTTCTTTTCTGTGATGCTAGTTTCTAATACACTTAAAAGCAGCAGCCTGAGGAGTAGCAGAGAATAGCATGACTTTGGAACATTTCCTATGGATGCATCTATTCTCTTATGAAAAAGTTTCTTCATATTGTGTTAGACTTAAGCCATTTGTCTCCTTAAAGTTTGACATGCCACATTTGTCCTTTCTGACCAGAGTCTTCAGTGGGACAAATGACAAATTAAAAAAAGCAGTTATAGCACAGAGTTATCAGTAAAATGATCAGGAAGTTCAGCATGCTGTGGAAGCACAGATAGAAAAAAACCTGTTACCCAGACCTTTTGATGTATTAGGGTGGTGGTGTGGAGGTTAATCAGAGATTTCTGGAACCTTAAGGTTGAATAGGAATTAGCCAGGAAAAGAAGGGAGAGGAGAAAAAGAGTGTTCAACACAGAAGAAACAGCATGTGCAAAAACCTGGTGGCTAGGGAGCTCAAAGATGTTAGGATCACTTGGCTCTGGAGCATGAGTTGGAGAGTAGATAAAGACGGGATGGATGGTAACCAGGGACTTCTTTTGTCCTGGTAAGGACTGTGGACATTATCTTAAGAATAGGGGAAGCAGTTGATGAATTTTCACCAAAATGGTGATAGAGGCAGGTTCTCGTTTTTGAAAGATTATTGTACCTTCAAGGGAAGGAGAGATTAGGAAGGACCATATTTGAGGCAGGGAGGCCAGGAGGCTGTTGAAGTGTTCTGGGAAATATTAGTAATGGCTTCTACTTGGGCAATGACTGTGGTGTCTCATTTGAGAGTTAAAGAGGTGAATGGGTAAAACTTTGGGATTTACTGGGTTGAAAGGAAAGTAGAGAGGGAAAAGGAATGTATTATGCCCGTTTTTTTGGCATGAGGAATTAGCTAGATGGGAATGCCACTGAGCTAAGGAACAGTGCATTCATACAGAATGAGAGCAGGGGCGGTCAAAGGATCATTTCAGTTTGGGGTGTTGGGCATTTGAGGCATCCATGTATGTCCAGGTGGATTTATCTGGTGAACAATTGAATATATGGGTTTGAGCTGAGCTAGAGCTAATTTGTTCATTCATTCAGCAAATATTTATTGAGCCAGGAATTATTTTAAAAGTATTGAGAATATAGTAGTGAATAAGACAGAGAAGATAGCCCTGCCTTCACAAAGATGATTTCTACAGAATGGGAAAACAGGCAATAAACAACAAAATAATTTCAGATAAAGTACTTCAAAGTACTCTGAAGGAGATGAAGAAGGGCAATGATACAATGACAGATGGGAGGTGAAGCAGAGATTACTTTTGCAGGTGGCCTTTTTAAGGAGGTGATACTGGAATGATGAGAAGAAACTATGCTGAGAGTCAGGATAAAAACATTCATGCAGAGAGAAGAGCACGTGTACAAAGTTCCCAAAGACCTTAGGAGCCCACTGGAATCTTACCTCTAATTTGTACCTACGCTTTTTGTCACTCCAAGGTGTTGGGCCACCCCACAGCAAGTACAGATACATTTTGATTTGACAGTGAATTGAGAAAAGGGCAGAATATACCCAAACATCTGATCTTTTCTTCCCTCTTCTCCTCTTCTTATTTGGGCTAGCCCTTCCAACTCTCATGAATTGTATCTCTTATATATAGCCCTGATTTCTCAACCTGGTGTTGAAACAAAATGTTCAGAATGTTTCCTGAATTGTGTTGAATCTCTGAAATGCAGATTAATTCTACTGCAGTCCTTTGTGTACCCAAAGATATATCAGTATCTCCTAAATGTGCCGTTGTTGTTCCCTGTGGTGTTAAATGCAGGTTCTAAAGGAGAATTTGGTTTTCCCATCTGTTTCCCTTTGTTACAAGTAATAAAAACCCATTGGAAGGCAGAGACATAGACAGGCCTTTGATAATTCTTTATTGAGTCCCAGGTTGGCATACAGCAAAAGAATCTCTAGAGGGGCTGAAATACTGGCATTGAACTACAGTGCCTTACAGGATTCAAAAGACTCCTGTTTGAGTAGAGGAGTTCCTTGAATCAAACGCTCCTTCTGTTTTATAATAGTAAACAATGCATCAGGTGGCACACTAAAATGTGTGCTTCACTTTTTAATTTCTCATGAGTGTTCTTATGGTAAAACTTAAAATCAATAGCAGATTTTTCTAGAGCAGAGCTTCTCAGCCCCTGACACCATTGACATTTTAGACTAGATAATTCTTGTTCTAGGGGGGCTGTCCAGTCTTTGTAGGGTTTTAGCAGTGTCCCTGACCTTTTCTCAGCAGATGACAGTCATACACCCTCCTCAGTTGTGACACACAAAAATGAATGTAATTATGAACAAATGTCCCCTGGGAGTCAAAATCAATTTTGACTAAGAAACCACAGTTCTAGAAGAATTAACTATTCTTCTAAAGAAGCATATGCTGTGCCTCAAGGGAATGTTCTACTGAGCCTTCTGTGGTAGGCAGCAAATTCCAGGCCTACCAGTAGAGTGAATTAACCTCTCTCACTTGGATCCTTTTATGTAAAGGAGAGCCAAAGATCTCAGAGGCAGTGTCTATCAGCTGTGTCGTACTGGTGGAAGTAACATTGGTATCTTATACCCAAGTTTTATTGATTGAGAGGAAAGAAGGAAAAACTTGAAAACTAGGCTATGCTAGAGTTGTCCCTGCCCAGAATACACCATTCAGTATTTAAATATAACTAAATTGTGTTTTGAGAAAGTTGATAAATGTGTGTTTATATGTTCATGCATGTATATATGTGTGTATATACACACGTGTATGTATGCATGTATTTATAGTGTTGCAACTCCCTAATCATTTATATGTTGGCTGTTTGAGATTTTGTATATGCTTCCATTTTTTCTTTAACGAATCGCTTTTTTGTATAGTCCTTAAATTATCTTTGCCTGGTTGATTGCTGCATGAGCTCCCACTGCGTAAATCAAGAAAAAAAATTTCAGCTGTTTTGGGAAGGTTGATTTGCTTCTTCTGTGTTGTACTAATAGTTAATAACGTACTTCCTAATATCCTGTAGCGTACAGATGTCAACCCTTTTCAGGCAATGGACCGAATGATGTTAAATATGCGAAACAGTATGCAGGAATTACAAAGAAACTTTGTAAGTACTAAAAAATTGATGAGAACATTATTTTCAGTTATTGGTACCCTATATTATTGTGGCTTTCAACTTTTTTTTAATCGTGGTCCACAGTGGTTGAAAAATATATCTTACCAGTATGACCCAGTACATAATACTTGTGTACTGTATAAATAAACCTGAAACAATCTTTGTGAGAAAATGATCATACTATTTACAGTGTGTGCTTATATTTTCTATTTTAGTTCATATTTTAAAAATCCTGGTCACAACCCACCAAATTGATTTCACAATCTATGAGTTTGCATTAATTAGCTTTCAAAATTAAAAAAACACAACCTCAAAAACATTTATCCTGCTGAAGGTAACTATTGTAAATGCACATTTTATATGAATTTAGACTTTTTAATTATTTTTAGCTTGTCTACTTAAAAGGATTTGTAGCATCTAGGAAATTAAGTTTTAGTGTTTTCTTAAAAAAAGCTGAAAACAGAAATTTGAGGAATGATGTTTAGGCATTGGATTAGATCCATAAAGTCCAAATAGTTATAAACTAGTGCTAATACTCTTACTTTTCTACTCATAATATTAATATTAAAAAATTAACTTGATTCAATATGAAGAAGACTCATATTATTTTAGTCATCCAGTTTAGAATCTAAGGATCGTTTCAGAATGTCCAAATCTAGGGCATTATTAATGATTTTCATAATCTAGCAATCTGGTACCCACAGGAGGTATGAAACTTCTTGGTGTATGGCTAATGGGCTCAGCATTGGCAAAATTGCACACAAGGGTCAACCACTAACTATAAAAGCATCATAGGCTTCAGGGCACAGCATCTATATTTAAATCTAAGCTGCAAGTCTTTGATCACAAAGACTTAAGGATCTCTGAGTGAGTCACTTCCTATTATTCCTCACAAGGAGAGTGAGAATTGGTACCTAAAATGGAAGGAGGTGAGGACCTTCCTGGGGGTGCCATTTGGATATACCATATTGATAGTATGGTATCCTTAGTAGAACTTTAGCTAGTATTGTTACTTATTTGAATCCTCTAAAGTCAGTTCCTCATATTTGACTAAACTCTCTGGATTGACAATTTATATTTATCTCTAGGGTCACCTTTCAGTGGATCCAAATGGACATTCATTTAGTTCTTCCTCAGTTATGACTTATTCCAAAGTAGGAGATGAGCCACCAAAGGTTTTCCAGGCCTCAACTCAAACCCGTAGGGCTCCAGGAGGAGTAAGTATTTTCTGAGCATTCTTGGAGCTTTATAAAGTTGTGGAATGTGAAATCTATCGATCACCTATATCGGATTTTAATTATTTAAGCTTGATCTGGTACTCTGCGGGTAGAGATGAGGGAAGAAGACACATATCACTGTGAAACACAATAATGCTAACTGTATTTACTTAATTTAAGGCATTTTTTTCTCCCCCTCCACCTCAGATGCCTTTTTTCATGTAAATATCTATTGATGTTTATTATTACCTTTACATGTTGACCAGGTAAGTAGACATTAAAAGAAGTCTTTGTCTCATGAAATAAATATCTATTTTTAATTTATATTTGAAGTAAATGAATTTTTTTAACTCATGAAATACTTCAAGTGTACAGAAAAGATATAGAAAATAATGTAATAAATACCCACATTCCTTCCACCCAGTTTAGTCAACTCATAACATTTTTCTCTATTTGCTTTAAGTTGTCCCTTATTTTTTTTTTCTTTTTAAGCAAAAATATTAGATGCAGTTAAAGCTTTCAGTGCACTCTTCCCTCCCTGGTTCCTTTTTTCCCTTTTACTCCTTCCCCACAAAGGAACCATTTTTCTGTATCTGGAACTTATCATTCTCATGTATGTTTTTATAATTTTATTACTTATGTATGCTTCATAAGCAATATAATGAATTATTTTATGGGTTTCTAAACTTTATATAAATGGTTTCATGCTGCATGTGTCTTCTGCAACTTGACTTTTGCTCAGTAATGTTTCTGAGATTTATTCAAGTTTATACATATGGCTGTTTATTTGACTTCTATATATTAACCGAAATATGGGTACACCACAGTTTTTAATCTGTTTTTCTGTTGATTGATTTTTAGGTATTTCTAATTTTTCACTTATCTTTATACATGTCTCCTCTTGCAAATGGTTTAGGAAGGGTATTGTTGGTTTGTAGGAGGTGGATGTCTTCATCTTTACCTAAAAATTACTAAGTTATTATCACACAGTGATTGAAACAGTTAGCTCCCATGAAGTCTGGTATGAGAGTTCCTATTTCTATGCTTCCTCCTTAGTACTTATAGTAAAAAAAAAATTAGGTTTGCCTGTTTAATGCATGTGAATAGTCCATTTTTTAGTTTTTACATATAAAGACACCTTTTCATGATGCTCTTGCCATGGTGCACACATTTTCATTTTAACTTGCTATAAGTAACATACATCTTAAATGTAAACAATTTAATTGTTGCCATCCCATGCTAATATTAATAGTCTTTGGCTATCATGAATATTCTCATAACCCATAGAGTTGATATGTAGGAGCCATGAGATTCAAGCCCATCGACATGACTGCTGAATAATCAGTTACCCTTACTTAGAGGGATGTACTCCCAACTATTACACTATTAAGGACAGTATTGAAGGCACTAAGTTTTATATAATTAGGTTATTATTTGTTATGCCATTTGATTACAATTTAGAAAAAGTTTAAATTTTACTGGTTCTATTTGCCCTAGACATTTTAATTTTAAGCAGTTTTTAAAATATCAGAGAACTATTACCACAATTTTACTGCAAGTTGGTAGTGGAACTGAGTACCCAGTTTTTTAGAGCTGTAGATTTATGATCTTACTTCTATAAGTAAACAGGTCCTGAGGAGTTGAGAATTATATCCATTCTCTATATATTTAAGTAATAACTAATTTTTATTTTCTTCATTTTTACAGATAAAGGAAACTAGGAGAGCAATGAGAGATTCTGATAGTGGACTAGAAAAAATGGCTGTTGGTCATCATCTTCATGACCGAGCTCATGTCATTAAAAAGTCAAAGAACAACAAGACTGGAGATGAAGAGGTCAATCAAGAGTTCATCAATATGAATGAAAGTAAGTTGTCACAGAAAATAGCATTCTTCCTCTTAAAATACTGGTAGAACTTGATGAATGTTTTTTGTAGAAACATTCCATAAGATGTCATTTCAAGGTAGTTTATGAATAATATGTAGGGACTACCTTATCATAGTAATAAAATTGTGGTTTCATTGTTTCATAGTAGATTTGTTTTTTTATAGTGATTTTTGGTAATGTTACTTATTTTTTGTTTTATACATGGAAAATGGAATCTTTTGGAATTGTCATTTAGTAAGACTGCCAGTAGGCAAAATGAGTTTTTAAATATTTCTAAGATATATTTGAAAAGTATAAAAAAGAATAAAGAAAACTAAAATTATCCATAATCCCAACCCAAAATAACTATTAATATTTTAATGTATTTCTTCCTAGTAGTTTTATGTATATATTAACACATATACTTTTTCTCAAAATTAGTATTTTACTATCTAGTTTATATTGTGCCTATTTTAATTCACCATTGTAACTGTGAAAACAGTCACCTATGATGTTGTTTTTCAAAAATATTCTAAATGGTTACCTAAAAGTTTTCATGAATGGGCCATAATTTATTTAAATCATTCTGTATTGTTGGGCACTTAAGTTTTTGTATAGATAAGATTTTAATTTCTTGTATTGTATTGTATTAAGTATGTCGTTCCATTTTCTAGGTTTTTTTTTTTTTTTAAGATTTATTTATTTATTTATTTGACAGATAGAGACGTAAGTGGGAGGGAGAGGGAGAAGCAGGCTTCCTGCTGAGCAGGGAGCCCGATGTGGGGCTTGATCCCAGGATCCCGGGATCATGACCTGAGCTGAAGGGCTCGATCCCAGGACCCTGGGACCATGACCTGAGCTGAAGACAGATGCTTAACGACTGAGCCACCCAGGCACCCCTCCATTTTCTAGGTTTTATATTCATTCTTCAATGCATTTAAGTCCTTCCAGTGTCCTGACTCTTCTCATTGTAGTTTTTGGATTATATTCATCTCCTACTTTCAAAAAGTATTTTGAATAAAAGTGTCACTTTAAATTTAAATTATTTAAATGGAAATGGTTTAAATTATCATATCATTTCAGAAAAAGAAATTCTCTTAGGGTTGGCTTGGAGAAAATTATTTTTATGCAATGAGATGGAAGCTAGAACATCTTAACCTTTCTTTAATTTTAATCTTTGTAGTTTTGTCATAGTTAAATATATACAGAGTACTTCACAATAATTAACATGTTGAAGAAAAATTCAGTGAGGGAACACATTATTATTATAAAGGCCATCTGATAGAACAAGTATTACCATTTACCTATTGTTATTGAAGTTAGAATGCCTACTTCATAACAAATTGACAGTTGAGTAACCTGTCTTAGGAAATTGACAACAGAAGTTTGCGAGGTAGGCCAGGTTATTATGTAGGAAAATGGTGAGGTTAATAGGAAGTGTTAGTTACAGTAGAAGTGCCCAAGTACTGAGGAAAAGCATGATCACCAGGAAGATGATCCAAGAAGAAAGACTGTAAGTGTATTTGGGTCAAAGGGTTCATTGGATAGAATAATATGATATCCAAGCAGGTGCATGAAAAACCAGATCATCGGGGCACCTGGGTGGCTCAGTCAGTTAAACGTCTGCCTTCAGCTCAGGTCGTGATCCCAGGGTCCTGGGATCGAGCCCCACATCCGGCTTCCTGCTCAGTGGGGAGTCTTCTTCTCCCTCTCCCTCTGTCTGCCGCTCTGCCTTCTTGGGCTTGCTCTCTCTGTGTCAAATAAATAAATAAAATCTTTAAAAAAAAAATCATCAATAACCAAATTATCAATAGGAATAAAAGAGGAACAGACAAAAAAGGAAATATTACTCTGAATCAAAGACCTTTATATTTGGAGCAGTTCCCTGCCTCTGTCTTGAGGTTAGGCTGATGGAAGCACAAGGCCAAAATCAAGTATGTGGGAGCCAAGGCAGTTACTGACAGTTGATATCTTAATACTTGCCCCTTTATTTTGATATTTAATGTAGGTGATGCTCATGCTTTTGACAATGAGTGGCAAAATGAGATTTTGAAGTACAAACCAGTGGGACAGTGGCACAATGTAGAAAACCCTAGGATGAGAAGTGTTGGTCATGAGAATTCAGGCTGCCGAGAACTTAAAAGAAGGTAAAGTTATTTCTAAAATAAATTGTGTTTTTTAAGAAGAATTAGGAGAAAAGTTACATAATTTTACCTCTGTATCAGGAAGTTTTGATTAACATCCGTTGTTTGTATCAACAGTATCTTTTGTGAAGGATGTAATGATTTTACATTGTATCTGAGCATTCCACACAAATTTGAATTTGTATCTAAAAACTAATAATATTTTAAGATTGTATGATTAGTAACTCACTAGCAAATTATGCTTCAAAAGATAGGGGCTAAAATCCTTCTAAGGAAAAGTGAAATACCATAATGTAGTTATTCTTGTAAAGCAGATTTTAATCTGGATATAGTAGGAGTCATACATTTCATGCCAGGTAAAGATATTGGTATCTAGAGATATGATAAGGAGAGAGGGGCTCTATTTGAAAGGCTTAACAAAACTCTCCTAATAAGTCAATGGTAAATGCATTTTTAGATACTTGTATAGTATATAACATTATCTGCACCTATATTAGGCATTAGATATTAGCTATTTTGGAAGAATTTTTCCAAAACTTTAGCCTCCTTTGGGATTACCTTTGGAATAGCTGTGCTGAAACCACACCTTAAAGATTATAGAGATTTTTGTACACGAATGTATATTCTAGAATTGGAATTTAATTTGGTTCTCTGGAGGAAAAATGGAAAACAATACCTTGTTCCTATTAAGTTTACACTTGAGAGAGAGAGAGGCCTCACCAGGCCTTAAAACAGAAATCTGTTCTAGGCCATAAGAGAGTGGAGGATTGCTGCAGAAGGTGAAAGTTTTAACAGAACCAGCGGTGGACAAGTGGGTATCAAGTAAATCAGAAGCCTTGTGCAGAATTTCATGAGCTAGCATCTTTTATTTTAAAATACTTATTTAGGATTTTAGAGCCCTAATTTCTGTAGAAAATTAGCTTCTGTATTACTTTTAGACAATATTTGTCTAACTTTGAAAAGTTTATTGATAAAAAACCTTACAGTGCTGTTTGACTATGAAATCCAGGTCCCTGTTAAAGAAAGCATGCTCTTTGTAGATGATCTGTAAATCTGTGGCCCTATCAGTGGCATTTTCTGTAAACCAGCACTGTCCAGTAGAACTTTCTGGAATGATTTTCTGTAATAACGAAAATGTTATGTATCTATACTAGCCACATGTGGCTGTTGAACCACACTTAAAATGTGGCTGATGCAACTGAGGAACTGAATTTTAAACTTTATTTTATTTTAATTAATTTAAATGCAAATGATGTGGCTAGTGGCTGCCATGTTGGATGACATGGTTAAACAGTTAAATCTATCTCAGGAAAGCAGCTGTTGTGCTCTTAAATGTTAATGAAATAATCTCCCATATATTTTTCAAAACTATTATGGAAGTTTTAGATAAAACTCTCCATAAATTACAGTGTTTTTTTTTATCATGTTTGTATTGATTTGTAAACTACTGGCCATTTAAAAAATGGTATTTATGTTCATATTATATTTCTCAGGGAGAAACCTCATCAAAGTCCAGCCATTGAACGTGGAAGAAGATCAAATGTTTTTGTGGACAAACTCAACATCAAAGGATCACCTGTGAAAATCAACAAAAAATAAATAGCCTTGCATTTGATTTGTTTAGTTTTGATTGTTTTAACAGAGAAAGTAATGGTGCTGGGTAATACACATAAGACCAATCCCTTGTTAAATCAGTACTGTACTAAACTTTCTTCTGATATCTGAATGTTCTTGGAAGTGCTAGCTTTATATTGTCCATACTTTAGGAATAAAACTTTGATTTTCAACAACTTAAGTTGCTAAACATTCTATAAAACTCTTTTTTTTAAAACATACTAATTTTTAAAGCTGATTTTGCTTTCCCAATTATCTTTCTATTGGCTATGTTTTCTTTTATATATTCGATTGAATGTAGAGCTAGTTTTATCATATGTATTAGTTATAAGAAAGTAAAATGTTAAAAAATACTGTTTTCACTAACACAATACTACAGTGATGTTAATAAAGGTAAAATTATTTAAATCAGATTTGATGTGTTATATAGCCAACAGCTTTGTTTTTTTTTTTAAGATTTTATTTATTTATTTGACAGAGAGAGACACAGCAAGAGAGGGAACACAAGCAGGGGGAGTGGGAGAGGGAGAAGCAGGCTTCCCGCTGGAGCAGAGAGCCCGATGGGGGCTCAGTCCCAGGACCCTGGGATCATGACCTGAGCGGAAGGCAGACGCTTAATGACTGAGCCACCCAGGTGCTCCAGCCAGCTAGGTTTAAGATTATGCTAAGTGAAATAAGTCAAGCAGAGAAAGTCAATTATCATATGGTTTCACTGATTTGTGGAACATAAGGAATAGCATGGGGGACATTAGGAGAAGGAAGGGAAAAATGGTGGGGGGGGGAATTGGAGGGAGAGATGAACCATGAGGGACTATGGATTCTGAGAAACAAACAGGGATTTAGAGGGGTGGGGGGAGGGGGGATTGGTTAGCCCGGTGATGGGTATTAAGGAGGGCAGGTACTGCATGGAGCACTGGGTGTTATATGAAAACAATGGATCGTGGAACACCACATCAAAAACTAATGATGTATGGTGACTAACATAATAAAATTTAAAAAACAAATAAAAAAGATTTAAAAAAATAAAGCAAAATTATACTAGTACTATTTTATGAGAAATTAGTTATTATTTTGGTATTAATGAATAATCAAATAATTCTGAATTTTAAGGAGATTTTAAATTGCTAATATATATGAGTTTTATTCTTTATAATTTCTTTATACACTGTGTTCTTTTTTGTTCCATATTACATTCTTAACATTCATCAGACTTTACATTGACCTTTCTCTTTAACTTCTTAAGGTAGCGTATTTCTGCTCTCCTTTCCCACAAACAGCTTAATCTGTCTCCACAGTTAACATTCTAAAGTTGGAGTGTCCTTGGAGAAACTCTGCTCAGCCTTTTTGTGACATTTAGAAAAATGCATTTGGTATTCTGTAAACCTGAATGATTGTCTCAAAATTTCTTAGACAGGTGATATGTGTGTTTGAGCAAGGTACTTAATAATTCAGTTGTTCCTTTTATACCATTTGAAAATTCAGCTTTAGCTTTTTTATTCTAGAATTCATTAATCCCTTTTAGAAAGTTTAAAGTTTATGAGAATATAAAATCTTAACCCTTACAGGAGGAAAAAGAACGGAAAATACACTATCACTTTATAATCCTAATATCTTGCTTTCTTCACTTTGGAAATAGAACTATGTCATTGTGCTTATACTTTCCTAATTTTCCATATTATATCCTGTTAATTTTATTAGTGTGTTTCATGCCTGTAATTAGTTACTAAAATTAGATACATGTCAATTCATTTTTATAAGAAAAAGTAATTGAGCAGGTATTATTTAAAGATGTTAACATTTTCCTCTTATGCATACTTTAGTATACTAATAACATATTGGGAAGTTGTCATAAGGCATAAATTCTAAATACTTTTGCATAAATTTACTTGATAGAGCAAAATCCCAATAGAGTAGACACTGTAATTCTTCTTCTGCCTAAATCATTGCACTGATGGTAATTTGAATCATTATATTCAAATATAAAAACATACTTTAATAAATAATTGTATTTAAAACAGTATAACTTCTCATCATATAGCAGTTAGAGCATTTACAGCTATTTTTCTCCCAATTTGTTTACCATAGAAAGTAAATAAAAATTGAATTAAATATATATTTCTTCTTATTCCACAGTGCTTCATAAGGGGACACTCATAAAACTGTGTGACATAGATTAAATGTCAATTCTTCATATGCAATGTTGCTGAAATTTCCTCTCTTCAGAATTATTTTTACCATACTGCTGAAGTCAACCATATAAGAAAGAAGGTTCTCTGTAGCTTGTATACAGTTCATATTATTTTTCCTTTGTGGACAACCATTGATCTTTCTGGAACCCTGGATCTTTTGGGAATGGGAAGATAGTAACAATTTGGGAAATGTGGCCTTGGCAATGAGGCCAAGTTGCATACTTAACAGTCCTTGCTACATTAGAGATTTTCCTTGTACCTGGCAGTCTCAGTGATAGGTTTCCATTACTCTACCTTTATGACTCCATTATCGCTTACGGTCACAAGGCAAGGGCAGGAGCACATTGGAACTGAGGGTTGCTGGAGGGGAGGGGGGTGGAGGGATGGGGTGGCTGGGTGATGGACATTGGGGAGGGTATGTGTTGTTGTGAGCGCTGTGTGTTGTGTAAGCCTGATGAATCACAGACCCGTACCCCGAAATAATACATTATATGTTAATTAAAAAAAAAAGAATCAGATGGTGCCCTAAATGTGGTAACATGATGATGATGGTATTTGGAGATGTTGCTTTGGGGAGGTGATTAGGTCGTGAGGGTGGAGCCCTCCTGAGTAGGATTAGTGCCTTTATAACGGAGACACTAGAGAGAGCTCCCTTACCTTTTTTTTTTTTTAGGATTTTATTTATTTATTAGGGAGAGACGGCACAAGCAGGGGGAGCGGCAGCACAAGGAGGGGGAGCAGCATGAAGAGAGAGAGGGAGAAGCAGATTCCCCCACAGAGCAGGGAGCCTGACATGGGGCTTGCTCTCAGGACCCTGGGATCGTGACCTGAGCCAAAGGCAGATGCTTAACCAGCTGAGCCACCCAGGTGTCCCCCCTTACCCTTTCTATTCCTACTGTTTATAAGCCACTATATTGTTTATGGTATTTTTGCTATAGCAGCCTGAATGGACTAAGACAGTTGTCTTAGGCTGATAGGGCAAGGACAATTTGGAGACTCTACTGAAGTGTGACATAGACCCTCACTGCAGTGAATTAGGATCTTCAATTTAGTAATAATGTACATATCTGAGACCTCTTGAGTCCCCTCTGTCCCTGATTACATGGAATTTGCAGTAAATTTGCATTCTGATGATTTCTTTGTCCCCAGAATCATGCTTATTTTCTCTTGGGGATTGGGAGTTCTGATCAGACTTTGGTGTTCTCTGGTGAATTTGACTTTAAGCACCATCTCCTATCTTCTGACTACTTGCCCAACATCTTATATTATTTGTCTGTGAAAACTTCCCTCAGTCTTGTCACTTGTATGAGAAGTTTGCTTTGGGAGACACCTTCTATCTACCCATGTTGCCTTCTAACCACATGTGTCTCAGGTCAGTAGTCATGTGGCTTAATGTTAAAGCCTGAGAGAGACATAGCAGTCAGTGTTTTACATTTGATAGAACATCAGGCAGTTTTTCATGGGTTTGTCAGCTAATAGACTTGTACTACCTCCTGGCACAATTTTAGCAAGGAATTGTAGTGACCATTTTGGGGAACTTGGATGTGAAAAAAACTTGCACTTGAACAAGGCACTTGCCTTGAGAGGCACGTTGGAAGAACAACACCAAAAAACAACAAACAAAACCTCAGGAGAGCCTTTGTGTTATTTGTCTAAAAGAGACCACTTTGTTTATGTAAAAGACTCTCTGTCTTTTATTTCCATACTTCATAGCTTTTTAGAATTTTTTTTTTAAGCAGTCTCCATGCCTAGCATGTAGACCAATGCAGGCCTTGAACTCAGCCCTGAGATCAAGACCTGAGTTGAGATTGAGAGTTGGACGCTTAACCAACTGAAGCACCCAAGTGCCCCCATACTTTAGAGCTTTGTAACTGTATGGTTTATATTTAAACTTTCTCCTCCCTTCTTGAAAGGGGGAAGGTAATTAGCCTTTTACAGGAATACTTTAATATTTGTATAATTAATTAAAGAAGCCATTAGACTGAGACGGCTTTAATGTCTTAGTAGCCCATGTAAACAAACCAAAACAAGCCTGTTAATGCCTCAAGGTTAAGAAATTGAAACCTAAAGACATCAATCACAAAAAGCCAACTAGGCTTTCCCATATAAGGCAACCATTTAAACTATAGCCAGCCAATCAAATAATCAAATAATTTCCTTGCTTTGCTTCTGCCTCTTCTTTATAAAAGTCTCCCTTAGCTCTAGTTGGTGGAGACCTCCTAACCACCACTTCCTGTTTGGCCACTGCCTGATTGCAGTTGATTTTTCCTCAAACTGGAATTTTTTTTTAAAGATTTTAATTTTTTTCAGTAATCTCTACACCCAATGTGGGGCTCGAAACTACAACCCCAAGATCGAATCACATGTGCTACTGATTGAGCCAGCCAAGTACCCCCTCAAACTCAAAATTTTTAATATGCCATCTAGCTCACTGTTTTTCCTGTTCCTCCCAATTTTTTCCTCCCACTTGAACATTTTTAAAGATTTTATTTATTTGTTTGTTTATTTAAGAGAGAGCATGTGTGAGTGGGGGTAGGAACAGAGGAAGAGGGATGAGCAGACTCCTTGCCGAGCTGAGCACAGAACCCGACATGGGGCTTATCCTAAGACTCTGAGATCATGACCAGAGCCGAAATCAAGAGTCAGATGCTCAATCCACTCAGCCACCCAGGCACCCTGCACTTGAAAAATTTTAAAGATGAATTAAGATAAAAGTCATTTTGGCATATGTGTAATCTAGGAATATCTATCTAGTCCAAATAGTCTAAAATGTCTAAGAGAAAAAGTCAAACTATTTGTGCTGTTTTGCATAAAATTGTGGACAAGTGCATTTAAATAATAGCTTTTGTTAGTATGATTATAAGAAGAAAGGTTTCAAGATAAAAGGAACTTTTAAATATGATTTAATGATTATGAGTATGAAGTATGTTTTAAAAAGTTTTATGAAATATTTCTGATAAATAGGTGGATTTGGGTAAAGGAATGAA